AAGGTCACAATTTGCATTTCTTCCATAAAATACGCCCTCATGCTTCCAGGAGGAAGTGGTCTTACTGGAGCTTTACAACCAGCTTTTTGATACGACAAAGTCAATTAACGTTTATTCAATTTTCTTGGAACTAATAGACATTTGTGGAATGCATTATGAGAACACAGAACCCGCTTTAGTCAACACTTGTTGATAAAATGTATAGGCTGCAGCTTTGACAACTGACGGTACCGATTCCCTACCCGTATATCGAACAAAAGCGACTATATCTACACAAAAGAATCCTTAGAGGACATAATAGGTGTGATGCCAAATGAGAATCCTGTAGCATTTAAGTAAAAGCTAATGAAATCTGAGAGTACAAGAAGGTGTAATTGAATGGGGGTTTTTTCAAGTGCAGAGATCTGACCAGATAAGGAATTGAAAATTTGTGTTAGATAAGCCTATTGAAAAAGAAACTTTGAGAGCTTAATAAGGCACAACAGATCAACAAATAGCAACGCTGCTATGCCTCTTCGTATAGTTCCTAGAGAGCAACGGTGAACTGGGTCGTCGGTCTTTCTCGTGAACGGCGAGTAGCAGCGAAATCCATGGATTCTCCAGACGTTCACTTTGTCGTCTTGACGTTGATTCAAATTTCTGGAAAGAGGTTTTCTAAATTCATAGAATCCGAAGCGTATTGAAAAGAGGGACAGATTATAAGTAAGAACGAGATAATCATCCATAGATAATGGGAAAGAACAAAAGCATATATCACAGTGTAATCTGAAGCGATAGCTTGAGAATCGTGAAAAATTCGAATACTAGCTGGTAGCTGGGAACAAGTTGAGTTTAGCAAGATGGAATATGCTCATTCACCCCAGACCATCTTTTCCTCCGGGGTCGGTTAGAGGTTAGTTCAGAGTAGTCTGGGATGTCAAAATCGCTGACCTGAACATCGGCAGGTCACAGCAACTCGGATGGGAGAAAAACTGAGGGGGGGGGGGGGGGGGATATGGTGGAATCGCCGAGATGTCTTCTGTCCCTCATTACAATCGAAAGAGGAGGCTCAAGAGACAATAATCAGCCGAACATGTGCTTTCAGAAGTTTGGATGTGTGGAAAGAATTGGGTATTGCTTAGGGTATTCTTAGCATTTGTAATACTATAAAAAAGAGTTTGAACAGCATGAAACAGAGTAACGGTTGTTACTTTTGAAACTCGTTTAGTTCAACTTCTAGAGTAAGAATCTGAAAAGAGTGCTACCGCTTTATCTTGGTTTTCTCCGAAAACCATTAGCGCGAATTGATGTCGAATCTCGGAGCTCGACAGAAAATGTGCTGGACAGCGTATGGCGTTACCGAAGACTGTAAGCACAGAAGCGAAATCGGCAGCCAGCCGAAAGAAGTCCGGATGATGAACATGGAGAAAATCTGAACAAACTTTGCAAAGGCTCGTGATTACAACATAGTTTTCTATCGAGCCTTCAAACTGACCGGCATCAAAATATTCTGTGATGGTCAGGTAGACGTTAAGCAGATTCGATATCAAATACGCCGATATGATAACTATCAATGTGTTCGTGGCCGATCGCAAATTTCGTCGCCTGATTTTCATAACATCCTTGCCCATCGTAAGCTCAGTGATTAAAGAGCGCAGTTGCTGAAAGTGTAAGATTCAGTGAGCGAGGAGGGAACGTGTTGTCTCAAGAAGCTAGGAGTCATGTAAGCTTGAGAAAATTTTGAGAAAATTAGAAATATAGTGAAAGACATCTTTTCATCAATTCACGACCAACCTAACGCAGAAAATAAAAAGTTTGGAGCGAAAAAAGGAATTTTCAAGCAAAGGAGCTCATTTGACATCGCATTTCTTATGGGTCCCCGTCACTCTTCCCGAAGATGTTAAGCAACAATTATTGCATCGTTAACTTTCAGTCTCATAGAAAGGGTATGCTCATCCTAAAGATAAGTGTACGGTTGAAGGCTCAATCAATCAGCCTCCATGTATGCTTTATAAGCATGATAAGATTTAATTTGTGTGAGCGAATTAACGCTTCGTTTCGACGGGGATTCCATGGCCAGTTCACGATGAGAATGGTCTCTGAGATCTCCTTTAACCTGTAGTCTCTAAAAATAGCACGTGGGACGTTGTTTGTACGAGAAGCGACCTTCACATACGCTATAAAGGTTCCAAAACCAATTTTAATCACGTACACTTTCGTGCGGACGAGTTCTCACGGCGTCGTAGAAGCTGTAGAGGCTGCAGCATTCGTACCGGGACGCACACGTTGTACGCAGGTAGCTTACTGTAGCCAGCTCTACGCGTTAGTATACACATTCGGACAGCTCTGAATACCCTTACCGTGCAATTTTATGCGCGCCACGCTTGCCCCGGCGCCACGTTCTCGTCCAATCCCTGTTTCTACTACTTTTTTGAAGCTCTATCTTTCTAAATGCGCCAATTTTCGTCTCTCTTCTCAACTTTTGCACTACTCAAAAGTATCACTTCCATTTTTCTTCGAAAATTAGATACATCAAATTAAGGTGAACTGAGCCTCTAGGCATTGCTCCCCTCTAGAGAATCGCAGCGGCTGCATATGTTCAAGCCGTTTTCAACAAAATGGGCCACAGAGGAGTCAATGGCTCAGCTCACTCCCATCATTTTGTATCCTTTCGCTTTCACATATATCACCACTAAAAGCACTTTCGCAGTGGCTTACTTTAAAACGAGCGATAATCAATTCATGCTCAATCCATATGGAATGCATAGAATAAAGCGAATGTACCCGGGAGAAGCCAAGCAGGAGTATGTTAAGGGTCGGGTCAAAGGGGATAGAACCCTTTATCAAATAGCTCCTGAATGACATTGTATCACATTGGCATTCAATCTGTAAAGTTATGGCCTATTCAACGACTAAAGGAGTTTACATTGGGAGAGGTGCGGCCGCTCGGTGTGTTCACGTACCACCGAACTCACTTGCTTTTGCATTCGTTCACTCGAGATCCAAAAATTCAAACCTTTGAAAGGAGCCTTTGTGCAGTTTTTCAAGGTTTTTCAGTTTCTACGTCTGTTTCACATACTTCAAAAATCCCAAGCTCCATATATACTCAACAACAGTAACAAGTCTCAGACACTGCCATCCGCCCACCTGCACGTTTTGCTTTTTCAGCATCATGACGATTCCGCCGTTAAGAAAGATCAGCGTGAAGAATGGCACAAAAATGGCAGCAGTATTGAAAAGACTCAGATGGTAGGAATCACTGCTTTGGAATGCTATCCTGAATCGTCGATAACCACTGCATTCATCGCGTTCGATTACCGAAATATCCTGAAACGAAACGGGGTATCAACTATAGTGAGTCCAAAAGATAAAGTAGATAAGCAGAGTCTCGCCAGACTACATAACTAAGTGAATTTTAAAAGAAAAGCAATAGGTACAAGAAAAAGTGTGAGTAGTTTGCAATAACTCGGCTAATCTCAAAAGAGTGCTGCATTTTTAGTATATATTAACAGCAGCGCTTGCAAGAAGATTTGTGATCAGATTTGCTGGCTGCATCCTCTTCGAAGGTTTGAAAATTGAGAAAAATTTGGCAACTGCCTAAAATGGCTGTCCGGAACTCAATGCGTGAATGTGATCCATGTGCATGTATTGGCTAAAGCCGTGAAGCTTGACCCCACCTTCTTCCGCATCACATCTATGTAACTGGGGTATGGGTACGTACGTGCATCCGAGGAAGTGCGCGGCAAATTGCGCGGCAAAATTCGTGACGATTCAAACTACTCTGGCCCCTATTATTGAGGCACAAACTTGAAGTAGAGTAGCTTATTAGGGTCAGACGATCTTTCTAATCTACTTTACTTCGAATTTGGGCCCCAATGATAGGCGCTAAAGTCGTCCAAATCGCAACGAACTTCGCCGCGCGCCCGGGGTTTATTGGTATAAATTGCAATTCTACTATTATTCGCAGAACGGCTTTGCAACATTATTCGACCTAGAGAGCTCTGAGTTTAAATGGTGCAAGCAATAGGTTTTTAGTAAAGTCAGCGACGACTGGTGACAGTGCGAAGAGTCGATTTTTGTGAAAAACAAATGTTCTCGAGAATCAGATCACAGATGGAAGCTCAACAGGAGATGGTCAGCATCTAAGAAAGATGTGGACCATAACTCATGAAGTGCAAAGCATAAAAGTTTGAAACCACTTAGAATGTCTCAGATAACTTCTCGACTGCCTGTCTGTTGGTAAAAGCACAAGCAGGGAAAATGCACTGCGTTATCATGACTTGCAGGAGCCATGGGAATCAGTTATGATCAGGACAATGAGATTTCAGGAGAAAATATTCCACTGACCGATGTTATGTTTTTGATGATGATTGCCATTCCGATCACAAATATCAAAGCCAACCAACGTGTGCGCTGCTCGAATCCCGTGAAAGTCCAGTGCTTAGTCATGCAATACCTGAAATCGAGGTTTATGTGATAAGAAGGCTACAAAATTCCCCTAGCTGTAATTCTATGGCAACCCTTCATGGTTATTTTCTACTTAAGTTAATCTCGTAGACTGCTTACAAGTGTGGTTTCCTTGCCCCTAATATAATGTACAGGCATTATGGAGAACTGTGTTTCTTTGAATACAGTCATATTGCCTCATACATGAATAATATTCACTCGATGGTTCGCTTTATAAACTCGGATTCTGTGGCTCCCCTTATATTCCAAGTCCCTCTATTTGAGATGACTTCATCTAAACTCGAATTTATTTTGGTACGTGAGCAATCCGTGGGTGAAAGTAAGCTACAAATTGATTCTCTCATGCTTAAAATGCATATATTGACATCGAATTTGTTACAATTTCTTACACTTTCCTTGAAAGCGGGTATAAATTCGTTCATGTGCGCTAATGATCAAGTGAATTTCGATGACGTTGCCCTAGCAACGAGGGATACCCCCCAAAACTTTCAGTCCATCTTATCAAATGGCAAGTGAGGAGCAGGTCGAGGCTTTCAGTTCACGATATAATGGTTTCGGAGACTCCCCCACAAAATGAATTCTAGGCCCCTCTTATACCATAAGCGGCACTATCACGACGGAAAACAGCCTTTAAGGCGTTAGGTAGGCCCAAGGATTGTCCCCTGTGTATTCGTGGACGAGTCCCACCGGCATCTAAGAAGCTGCACCGAACACGGGGCAACCCATGTAGGAAGTTCAAACAACTTAATGACCCATAGCGACGGTGAAAGACAGTTGCGTAAAGTTGCGGCTTGATATAGTCAACTCAATGCGCAATTGTCATAACCAAAATCTCGTCCAAATACCTCCAAATACCCCTTCCCTTTATTTCCGTCATGGTGATCTCGTCCAACCTTTATTTCCCCTACTTTTACGGAGCCTTATTTCTTTCGAAGTTGGCGAAGCTTCTTGCTTTCATCACTACCGATAAACTATTCCCAACCTGTACTCCCGTTTTTTGAATTAAAAAGGGGTACCTCAGAATTATCATGGACTGCTACTCAATCAGTAATCATTGCAATGTACCGTGATGTAGACACTGATGTGATGATTCACTTTACTGCAAAATCCTTTGCTTACGGAAAGCCATATAATCTTCTTGTAAAGTTCCGCGAGTCCCAACTCCCTATTTTTTTACTCCAACATTGGTCGTACCAATGTTCGAGTAAAAAAATCTTTACAATGATATCTTACAATGGTATCAATCAAAATATTTACAATGGTATCAAAATTTGAAGCTCTCAAAAATTCAGCCTTTCACATAGAGATTCTTTCGAGCTAGACCAGCTATCCTTCTAGAAGCGGTGCCTGAACGAAGAAAAGCAAACTCCACTACTAGAATATTTCTTCTGGAGGATGATAGATCGTGTCGATGGTAAACTGGGGGTGTGGTGCAGTAGGAACGGAATCGTCGCGTCGCGGCGAGAAAGACGCCGCGTGCGAATGAATGTAGCAGATTGCAGCAGCAAATAATAAGTTCAGGAACAAAAGAACTACCAGCAGAATCATACCATAAGTAATAATCGCATAGGATTGAGCTGTATGAAGAACGCTTGAAATGTAATAACGAGGCAAATGGTCTGCGACAACCACGTGCGGCGGATCGATTACCCAAACCTTTCCTACTTCAATCTCCCGTAAACTGGAGACAAAGCTCGTTCTTGGATTTGATCTCAAAACCGCGGGATCAGTACAACTCCACATGTGATTTCATAAATTTTGCTTTGCTTCCCTTCTCCGGTCTATTTTCATAAGTCACAAGCGTGAATGTACTTAAACTGGAAAGACTGGGAAGATTAGCATACCTTTCTATGCTGGCCATAATGAGGCAGAAGACGGAGGCAATTTTGAAGATTTGAGAGAATACGTAGAATACCGGCATATATTGTAGCCATATCATAAACAGTAGATAGTTGTCAAAATACTCGGCGTGCACAGGTACAGACTGAAGTATAAAAATACAGCGATCCGATTCAGCGAAAAGTATAAATGCGCAGCAAGTGCTATCAGCGGCTTGCTTCACCGTGAGCGGTTGTACCGCGCTTGGGTCACCATCGTAGGGCATCGCTACTCTTCAAGTAAAATTAACGTTCAAAGTAGTGTTGTTCATTTCAGGCAGATCAGATGTCCCAGGATCTATGATGCTGACCTTTTGATATCAGAATGAATGTTTGCCTCATATATGTATTTATAAAAAATATGGTAGACATCGGTTCGGAATACACCAAGACCTCTTTTCTCTGCGTAGAAAACAGGTATTGCTAAAAATGCTACCGCATAACAGGTGCAAAAAGGGTTATGTAGGTGCAAGTCAACCATACGGTACCATCGGTTCTCCATCTACCTTCTTGCAAATGAATTGACTTTGCCCCTACTTTTCCTTCTCAAAAACTTTCAATCTAAAGTCACTTCTCAGGCGCAAGAGACGTACTTCCAGGAACATTTGAGCGTTTCTCAGATCGCAGTTGCACCTTGGCAAGGATCTGCAGAAGACGCTCAGCCTGATGAAATCGAACGCACACATCAACGACTATGCACGACATTGCGGAAACTTCAGCATTTAATTCTAGTAGTGCAATTCGATTAAACATCAATAGTTGTGTCTCAGCAACGGTCACCGCAAGAGTAATCATTTTCTTCAAATTTCTCAGCAACCTAGTCAAGCGCGCCTTCTATTTGACAGAGATAAGCAGATCGCAAGCAGTCGGTAATCGTCATCCATTGAAATCAGCTGGAGTGTTCTTAAGGATATCGTAGAGGTGATGATGTGACTCATTCCATGCTCATGAGGTCCTGTAAGATGTCAGAGCGATCTGGAAAAACCCAAGAGGTGAGATTGAATGAGGTTGACAAAGAGAAGGTTATCAACTCTTTTTTCACAAGATGGAAAGCGGTGTTGTAGTGGGAAGTGGCCCACCATCATATTCGCACTGTCTGCGCTTCGAATCCCGGATCGATACTTTCCCAAGACAACCGTACACTCTAACCCTTTCTTTATTGGTACCAGATTCGTCCCTGAGGATGAAAGCACTGATTTGTACTTTGGCTGGCCACTGCAAACCGCTGTATAATACAGGCGATGTACAAATCTGGTAGTCAAACCGAGACAACAATTTTAAATGGTATGAGTGATTAACCCCAAGAATCTTTACCCTTCAGCCTTCTTTCTTTATTCGATAGCAATGAACATAGGAACTGAGATCATCCAATATTTGTTGAAATGATTAAGGCGTTCGAATTCAAGTTGAGCTCCGGTAGGGAGGAAAACAAAGTCCTGAAGTTTCTCTATAAGCACCATCCCAAGCTTACTCGATTCTAAGCTGTTATTTACTTTCGGAAGGATCATGTGAATAGAGCTTGCCTTAATTCATGTGGAAAATCGAAATCAACATACATATGTCTCAAACGGAAACCCGGAAAGGAAAAGTATGTCGGCCTTTCTTCTCAACAAGTTGATCTCTTCAATCAGCAGACTGTAAGGATGAAGCCTTTGGGCGTTGATCAATCATGTCTGAGGGATGCGCCCCGCATGCGACTTCCAATTGGAGCGAAGCCTTAGTTGCTCATGAAACTGGAGCTCAGAGTCTCTCCTTGTCTACTCCTCGAGGCGAAAAAGCTGTAAGAGCAACTAGAGCTGGAATTAAAGGGAGCTCAAAGCTGAAAAACGACAACAATGTCGTTGTTGCATGATTGATGTGAAGTTGTGATAACTTCCGTTATTCACGGCACAAATGCTTGTATTGAATACATGTTTCAAGAGTGCGACTTCTACGGAAGCAGTTAGTAGATAAACTGCTGAGACAGTTTCCTATTGTGTACTACTGGCTGTGATGAATAATTGCAGTCTCCCAATACCAAGAACAACACACGACCACTGTTCTTGCCCGTGGTCAAAGAATCAATGGCCGTAAGCATTTGGACGAATATCACTCTGGGTCAACCCGGCAGATGAAGTGAACACAGCAGGAACATATACTATAGAATCGAGTTACAGAGGAACGTTTATAATAATAAGGGCTTAATTGGGAAGGACGTGGTGTTGATATGCTTTTTTTTAATTATGTCACAAATCTGTATTCCAACTGTTAACCATGAATTCCCTATGGAATGTAAGATGTTGGGGAGGAGGTAATGTAGTGTCAAGTGACGCGCTATCACACACGCATGGCCACGGGTACGAATCGCGGATCGATATCCCACCTAGGCCAACCAAGCCTCATCCTTCCGGGGTCGGTGAATTGGTAGCAGACTCGTCTGGGAGGATAGGAGCACCGACTTGTACATCGGCTGACCTTCGCAAGTCTTTGTATAGGCCACAAACGCATTCGATACACCACTACGATTCTGATTGGAAATCGAATGCGTGGCGCATCTTTCAGACGAGATTGATTAACGACTTGTTCCCCTCGTGTTTGTCTTCGATTCTGAAGGCAACTGAATGCATTTCCGTCCTAAACAGTTAGTAAGGGTGGTAAGCCGTGTTATAAAGAAATCAGTGGTTTTGTCTTTCCGGACTAATCCAGCACCACCCGACCTCCATGAATTTGCAGAATCCGTGAGGTACACGCTCAGTATTTGATCCTATCTCCGTAGGTTTGAGAGCTTTTCCCCTGCTCTGGTGAAGACGTAACATTACAGATTTCCTTCTTATGAGTTATAGAAGTGTGCTGAATCAATGGTTGGCATTGTGAATGGAAGGTAATCTCTTTTATTCGAATTATTCGGGCCTATCTATGCGGTTGGCTTTTGAACATTGTTCTGGCCTTATAGGTTCGCAACTGATTGTCTTCGTCATTGAGGAAATTGGATTCGATCATTTCACCACGGCCTATTCTCTTTTCTGGTTCATCATAACGTTCCTGCTCTAAATCTGCACAAGAAAAAAAAGCAAAACTGACCAGAAGAACTATAAAGGTGGCGTCGAGAAGTGTGTCGAACAAGGCGACAAATCCAAGAAAGAAGAATGGCGAATGCCTAAAATTCAGAATTAGTTTATGCAAAAATCAAGCAATGGAAATCAATGTAGGCCTACAAGGTTCCTGAAGGACACTACGTGTTTAGTCCTATGAAAGCTACACGTTCAATTGCCCTTGACGGCACACTGGCGACAATATCACATAACTTTGTCGAGTTGCAGAAGTAAAGCGTTGATACAAAGCAATTCATTGGCAGAGAAATTCAGCAGAAATCCCGGAAAGAAAGACCTCTCTGAACTACTCATTTCTAGGAAGGTGGTGGTAGTGCAAAGGCATGTGGCGCACTATCTTACGCGCTCTGTTACGGGCTTGAATCCCGGACCGATATCCCTCAAGCCTTCCATCCCTCGAGGGTCTGCTAATTGTACCAGGCTTGTCAGAGAGGACAGAAGCACTGATTTTTACATCCCCTGGCCATCGCAATTCATTGTATGGGCCACATACGCATTCAACACGCCACCACTATTCCGAAAAGAAGTTGAATGCACTGGCGCATTTTTCAGACGAGATTAGTTAACGCCCCAAGTCGCTATTCTTAGCTAATTCCCAAGATTGGTTGGGGTCAAGACGACGAAGGGGGGTATTCGAACGAAGTTCCGGACCATGAGAACAATGTATAATATGTTAGCTGGTGGGGTGTATCAGTTAACAGCATTTCCATCAAACGGGCTCAAAGTTTTTGGGATTAGCCTTTACAACGCTGCTGATCAAGCCCTTCGTTTAGGTATTAAACGGTCGTAGGTTTACTAGTTTTTAGAGCTGTGTCTTCGTCTTACCGAGGACGACGTAGTGCCCGGGCTGAAGAGCTGCTCAAAATGCTAACTGGGGAAAAGGCTCATTCTCTTGATCAGTGAGCTAGAAGATGAAGATTTAATGGTCTGAAACGAGACTAGATCAACGGGCCAAAATACTTTTTGAAAAATAGTTGATTGTACGAGTTGTTTGACTCCACCAGACATTAAGTTGTTGCTCCGACTGTTGGATTTATATCCCTGTCGACAACTACACTTCTCTCGCAATCAGGTTGCGCATCACATTCGTGCGGTCAACTCATTCGTCAATTTTTTTTTTGCGGACCTTTTCAACAGGAGCAATTCGTCCCGTCAAGACTTCTTAAATCACTGAAGGTGAAAGAATAAGGCGGCCTCATCACACTCTTTCACTGCCATCGTCCAGCTGTCAACAACGAGTGATTGATCGGGTGATCGCAGGGATCGAAAGTCACTGAAGCTTGAGGAAACATGGTCAATCAATTGGAATGCTAGGCAATTGTCTGGCTGGCCTTTTTCCAAAAAAGTCGATGTGTTTTGTCCCATTGATTTTTTGTTGAGAGAATGAAGGCGGCAAGCATAACTCAATAGGGTAGCAGTAGTGGTGCATCAGCATCAGTAGGATTCCAACTTATTTACTAAGGCCTGATTCACTAGCCAAGCAAAAATCCGAAAACAAAATGTCTGCAGGAGGTCACAAAAAGAGACGTAACTTGCTGATTGCCCACAGTAGGCACCCAATATAAATTTGAAAGAAAAAACTTCGGAGAACGGAGATCGAAAAAATCGAGGCGAAACTGAGTTTCGAGTCAGACATTAGAATTGGAATTCAAAAAAAAACAGCTCTATCATTCCAAGACGCTAGATGACTAATTCTACCCATCCTGAGATGACAAAGACGGGACATTCTTATAAATAAAAACTGTTACTTGCATAGGGGTCATCCCCCAATAAGATGTACATATTGATGGATAACAGTGGGAATTCGTCAGTCAAGTCAAAATTTCATAACGAAGCATTCAAAAAAACTTCGCACTCGAATAACTTTAGATAAGAATGAGGAGAACGCGTAAGCTCTCAACGTAACTCCCGTCTTTTATGGTAGTTGCCACCAGTTATAGAGTAGTAGGTGCTCTTTGAGTTTGGGTGAGAGCCAAACAAGGAAACCCTCATCTGTCTCTATTACTGAGCTGTTTCTGAAACTATTCACAAGGTTTGTATATAAGCTTCATCAGGCTTCTTGAATTTGTTTTGGCGTATGCTTCTTGAAACCTGAAAGGCTTATAACAAATTGTGACATCTCTACAGCCTCGCTGAAGTTTGAGGCCCAGGCCCCCGAAGCACGCACATGATTCAAGGAGGGCCACTCAAGGCAGCTCTGTGGATTTCACGAAGCTACCCAGTAATCCACAAAGCTGCGGTAAGTGGCCCTCCTTTGAAGCATGTGCGTGCCTCGGGAGACTCGAACTGCGAGGGGCGCGGGGGGGGGGGGGGGGGGGGGGGGGGGGGGTCCTGAGGAAGGCGACCCCACCGTAGCGCCAGCTTAAGAGAGCTTATATACTCAGCTCAGTAACAGTTACTATGTAGAGGTCCATAGAAAGCCGTACATGAATGTTATTCTCACCTGTAATTCGTCCTTGTCAGAAAGAGGACAGCTAAAAGGCCATTGGCGAGTAGTCCAAACAGAGCCAATCCACTACCAAATACGCCCATGAGGAAGTATCGTTCAGCAACGAGCCGAGCTTCAGAGCTCGTCTCGCACATCACGACGACAGCCGTTTCGGCTTGAGCTCTCACTCGAGGCGTCCAAGAAGCTGAAAAACTTTCCTCTTGGAATGAAAGGCTTTTGGGAGACGAGAGAAAAATTGAGGCTAACGACTGCTTTTCAAATGTACGAAAAAACGCTGGGCATTGTTATAAAACAGTTGGCTTCTGGGAACTGGGAACCCAGGGTGAACTACTATGTGGAGCATAATTTTCTTGTGAAATGTCCGATAAAAAATAAAATACAGCCTCCCATTTTAATTTGATCTTCCAGTTTTCAGAAGCCAGATGCTTTTCGTGAAGACAGATGTTTTAGGGTTCTCAAAACTAAAGAAGAAGGGTACGATTTGAGATAAACCAGTGATTGAAGCGGAACGATTGCTATGAATTCGAATAATTTCAATAAATCACTTGAAAGTAGCGTGGTATTTAAGCTCAATACAATAAATTAAATCACAAGCACTGCTCAATGACGAGAATTTGTGGGAAGGAAGAAGTGGGTGGTGCAGGACGATGGGAAGTCAAGCGAATATTTTATTTTCCTCTATCGAAGTTGTCATTCACAGTCAGTAGTCATTCACGCCTCAATAAATTGCTATGGTAATCAGAAGCAATGAAACAACAACAATTCGGAGTGTATTTAGTAACGAGTGAGACGAAACAAAATCATAGACGAAAACAAATCCCAGAAGTCCATCATGAACACAACAGAGGGTGGCCGTGGCTGAGGGTTACCAAAAGTTTTCGGCTCCTAAACATGGCTAGCTCTAGTGGTTCCCATCTCACAAGTAAGCCCGGGACACTTTTGACTGATGTGAACAACTTTCTTACAACACAGGAACTCAAACGAAATCGTAATGTGATTTTTCCGCCAACGAGGTTGTAAAGGTGGAAATTCTATTGAAGTTTAAACTTTAATGTTTCCACTTAACAACCTTGTTGGCAGAAGAATCACATTACAATAACAAAAATGCCGAGGTTCCATGAAGAGAGAGAAGCTGGGATTTACCAAATGAAATCTTCAGTTCAGTATTTTAAAAGAGAGGACTTTAGTCATGTACGACCATCGCGTGCTACATGGACATCTAGTCGCTTCCCGGAAAAGCTTGATTTACGGCTGGCCTCGGTTCCTTCCCTTTCAACCAAGTTTCTCTGATTTTCTTCCTTAACACAATAGCACTCTTCCTTTTATACGAGTACCTGTCCCCTAACGCGGTCTGCACCCTTGTAAAGAAATGGCATCTGCAATCATGTGAATAAGGAGTTAAAGCAAAAGAAAAAAGGGTTATTCTGTATAGATGTAATGGAAGGTTCTGAGTAAAGATTAGCCGACAACAAGAGCCATTTGTGAGTCATGAAACGGAACACGAGAGCTTACGCTGTCAATCAGTGGCTGGCAGGTGAGTGGAGTGGATGGCGACAGAAAGCCTTCAGTGCATGGCTAATTCATGACTCTCTGCCTCTTTTAAGGCGCTTAGTGTTGAAAGGAAGCAGCCCGAAAACTTTTGAAGGAGGAGTCGGTTATGTTGGTAATATTCTTCTGCCATTCCAGGTCTTCAGATGAAGCATGAGGGTCAACTTCTCAGTGGGGATATTTTGATAGGCCTGTGGATTGGACGAGGCTGAACAGAGTCGGAAACTCTGATATAAACATTTGTCTAGCTGAAGGTGAGAGATCAGCTCTTACAGCGATAAGGGGATGTGCTGAGACGGGTACCGGATCACCCGATCCCGTTAGGTAAGGCAATGGAATTGGAAGCCCAAGGAATTCGACTGGGAGGGGCTCCAAAGAATAGCAGGCGGGACGTGATCGGAAAGGACCTCGCCGAAGTCAAGGTGTCTGCAGTAGAAGCTATAGCTATAGTTGAACAAAATGGAGATGTCACACAGAAACAGCGGACCCTGCAACGGCTCGGGATTAAGGCTAGGGAGAAGAAGAACCAATTTGAGGTCTTTAGGTAGACTACTTTTTTATCAACGGCCTAACGTGCCATGTAATCGCCGTCTTCAAAGGCCTAAGCACAATTCAGATGGTTTACAATATTCGGCGAGCATTTAATCCCTTCTGGCCGAACAGCGGCAGGCCGGAACTTTGGAAAACTGCTCACTTTACGAAAGACCACTGGAGTTCCACCGTTAGAGCACAGAGAATTTGATGTCGCCTCAGACTGCCTCTAGCGAGTGGGATTTTTCGAAGTCTCCTTTACACTTATGATGCGAGAGGAAAAAATATGACGCCACTGACTATCAGTCGTTGGAGAACTACTCGATGTAGAGCCGGTAGTCCCGTTATTATTATTCTGCCAGAACCAGACTGGGAAAAACCTTTAACCGAATAGAAGCAGCTAGAATGTTCTGAGAAAAATTGATCTTGATGAATTAGAGTAAAGTTCTTGCCCTTGTTGCCGCTCTGTCAGACATGGATGGTTTAAAAGTTCTTTGAGTCCGCATAAAATATTGGCTAAGAAGCCTAATGCACTAAAAACAACGCCATATTTTGGAATAAGCTGTTGTTGTTGGTGTGGGTGGTCCTTTTGTCGCGGGAGGTAGAGAGGTAGCACAAACCTCGTAGTAATTCTCAGTGATTCTTCAAAGTGACAATGGTAATGAACTGGAAGCAGAAATCGAGATTCGGTGAATCCTAGCTGGACACGAAGTATGTATCCTACTATATATAACGCGCTAAGTGTGTCTGTTGGTTTGT